CGGCGCCATATAGAGAACTATAGTCTGCGAGGTACTGATTCTATCTATGTACCTCGCAGACCATAGTTCTCAGCCAAAATGGCTAAAAATTGGGTGCAATTTTTTACATTGCACCCAATTTTTAGCCATTTTGGCTAAGAATTGGGGGTGAGTACTATAGCATGTAATAGTATCTCACACCCTCCAATTCTTCCTATGGCGCCGAAAAATTTTTGGTGAAATGCGACGACACAGTTAGTATGGGTTAGTTGGGTACTGAGGCACTGCGCACCTACTTACCCATGATATGTGAATTTGACACTTTACAAAACCGTTAACATATATTTTACAACACAAACGACAACACTAGCTTAACCTTAAATATTTACAAAGCCGCCAACCACTTCACCCCACTAACGAACTCACTAATGAAAAAAATAAACGTTCTCATAAATTTTCTTCTATATCTTCATCGTCAATGTTAACTCTATTGTAGTCATACTTGAAGTCATAAAGTTTCTCAAGTTTTGAAATGCATAGTCTTGTTAACTTACCTTCATCATCATAAGTTTTTATAAAACTACCATGACAATCTTTATACACAGTCAATGTATAATCTACTGGTCTAGGATGAAGTGTAAAGAACATGTTATACTCAGGAAGGAAGAATAAATGTTTAAATGTATGTTTGTTATATTTTTCGATTTGTATGAGTTGCTTTTGTTCTGTCATTTACATCCAAATAAAAATTTTCAGTAAACTTAAAAATAAATGATATCACCACTCCCACACGTATGAAAACATAGCGCAAAAATAATGTTTATGTTAGAATGTTAGATCTAACACGTTTTCTAACCTCATTTCTAACCTTGTTGAATTCATTGCTTTATAACTCTCTTCCTTGGTTTCCTTTCAGTAAGGACTATGAGTTCTGTTCAAATGGTGTTTATTTCTATTGTGGAAAGATGGGGTCAGGAAAGACATTTAACCTCATTCGTCATATACTCATAACAGAGCGTTTAGGAAACGACTCTTACTATGACCAAATCATTATATCAGCAACTTCAGACTCTATGGACTCAACAGCGAAAACATTTATGTCAAAAGTTCAAGCATCTGTCGTTAAAGTTCCAGACAGTGAACTCATTGAATTTCTTCAACGTTACATTCGACGTAAGAGAAAATATTATGCCATCGTTGAGTTCATACAGTCAGGAATGCAAAAGACTTCTGAGGAGATGAAAAGAATTATTGACAAACACCACTTACGTCAGTACTCAGGAGTTTACGATATGAAACGACTGACAAACTACATTCTATCAAAACTTTCAAAATACCCCTTCAAAAAGTATCCTTCAAACACTTTATTAGTTTGCGACGACTTCGCTGGTAAAGGTTTAGTGTCAAAGCCTGACTCACCATTAGCGAACATCATTACTAAAGTCAGACATTACCACTTAACTGTAGCAAACTTATGCAAACATGGAGGTTTTAGCTTTAAACATAAAACGTCTCATAACTGACTTCGTTATCTTTCAAGGTTTCTCACGCATGATATTGAACTCATTTGAAACAGTCAGGTATAACATTACCTTTTGAAGAAATTTGGGAAGCATATAAGTCTCTCATCTCTCCTCGTTCATACCTTGAGATTCATATCATGACTAATACCATTAAAGTCAAAAATATCCATGGGAACGACAAATTAAAGTTAACCTTCATTATAAATTCCATGCATCTCTGTCGCCATTTCTGTTAATATTTTTGCTGTCATTCATATCATCCACTTCCCCATCCGTTAGCTTTTGAGGATATGCGTTAGAATAGCTGTTCTTAAATGAAGGCTTTTCACCTTTGAGAGCATAAACTCTATAACTTCTGCATACTTTATGTTTGAACCTCCTGAGCCATCATTGACATAAATTTTTATAGGCTTCCACCCTTTGTTCATGTTCCTGCTTCTTCCCTTAGCTCTTTTGTTCAGTAGTTCTACATCTTTATACACAGCACCTGTCTCAGTGAATTCAACAATATTTTCATTCGTTAGCTTTACATTCAAACCCTTGTCGAGTATATTGTTCATTTCATACATATAAAAGGTTTTATTCTATATGAAATGAGAAGCAAATCCATCTTAGCTGGTGCCGTTAATGTTCCAATTGAACCAAATCAAATGTTGACTCACGAACGACAAACAATATTGTCATAAAGAACTATAGTTCAGAGTGTTTGAAAGAAAAAGAACCAGAACTTAAGTCGGGACCTTCGGTCTTGGCGCATGACGCCGTGAATTTAAACTCAGCTTCAAACGCTAACGCTACATCAGATGTTAAGTTAGAGTATCCACCACTGGACCAAATTCTTTCAAGAGAAGCCAACGACAACCCTTACACAAATGTTCAAACAAATCCTTCAGATAACGTAGACCATTACCTTCTTCAGTTATACCAAACAATTTTACTCAAAGACGATAAGAAGCTTTTGACAAATCTTATAAGCAAGAACCAAATAATTCTAACAAAGGAGGACCTTGAAAATGTTATCTCACGAATAACAGGGAAACAATGTGTCATTGACTATCTCGACCCTGAAATCGAATGCTGTGGTCAAACTCCACTATTCATGAAAATAGGTAACATCCGCATCATTGAAACACCAGGAACTACAGGAGTTGAGTTTAAGTATAAATATTCGAATGAATATACAAAACTTTCAACAGAATATAAACTTTGCTTGAAATATGTTTTAGTAAATTAAAGCAATTTGTAATATCTATCCAAAACTTCTTCAACAGTATCGAACTCATCTTCATAATGCAAACCTAATCTTATTGACTTGGTGCAGTTTTCACTAACACAATATTTTTCTGTTCTCTTGACTGACATAACTAACTCATTTTGTTTCATCAAACAGCAACAACCAAAGTTCATGACCTAATACATAACATTCATACTTTATATTTTTAGCTCTGAGTTCTCTTGTAAGCTGTTGCATTTAATATTTTCTAAAAGTCAACTTCAACAGTCATTTGCACTGGTGCCTTCAGTTCTACAGGCTCTCCTTGAAAGTCAACAAGTCTGAATTGCATGTCTTTCAAATTATGAGGACTAATGCGAACCCATTTACCTAAATGAGTTGCTATGACAGGAACGTTTGGAATGAACATTGAATTGACTGCATAACAGAAGGATTTATATTCTACTGAACCTTTACTATTAACTCCTGAAATACCTGTGACATTAGCTATTTTAGACTCAATGTACAAACAATTACCATAACATACGTATGGAACAGATTTCATCTCAATCGTTTTGTCAACACTTTTCAAAGGAAATGTCATATGGTATGCTCCTAAAAGAAGTTGAACTCTATGACTCATTCGTGTTATCTTGAACTCTTTCTTGCTACTGAACTTCAATGTTCCCTCAGAAGAGAGTTCGACATCTATGTTGTCAATAGTTTCTTCATTTATGAGAGTATCTATGACTCCAGCAATTTTATCTATTCTATACTCTGCTCTGTTAGGAAATGTTATAAAACTTCTTTTGTCATCTATTTCAAACTCCATGAAATCTGTTTCATCTGTTATGACAAAAGTTGCGATAGTATTGAAGTCAACAACTCTGAAAGCAAGTGCTTCATTCTGAAGACCTAAGTTTGTTTGAAGCTTTACTGTTCCATATTCGTTTGGGTCTGTACTTTGCAAATAGAACAACATTTTATTCTCATTAAAATATGACTATTGCTGCATATGCGTATGAAACAAATGAAGCAAGAAGAGCACATGAACTAGTAAACGAAAACTCAACTTTAACCATTGAAGGCAATGATTTAGTCATTGACGATGGAAAAACTAAAAAAGTCATTGATTTCGATACTTTTAACACTTATGACCCATTCATTACAACAAGCAAGTTCCTATCATAAATGATGGAACGGTGCAATATATAAATTCTACAGTAGATGCCTCATTAGTGAAAGTACTGAATGTTCTCATTGAATTGTTAAAGAGCTTTCGATTTGACGACAACATTAAATGCCTAAAGAATTTAGTCATGAATGAGAAACAAATTCTCGGCGTTGCTGGTAGCAGTAATGATGTACACCTTATGACATTAGAATATTATAACGAACATAAAGATGAACTGAAAGGAGAGAAGGGTGACACCGGACCACAAGGACCACAAGGAATACAAGGAATACAAGGAATACAAGGACCTCAAGGCGAGAACGGTTTGGATGGAAAGGATGGAAAGGATGGAAAAACTGCTAAATCATGGATATGGGACCTTATAAATACTGGTTTAACAGCTGCTTCATATGGAGTTCTTCAATACCAAATCGGAAAGATATGGGCAGTACTTGGTGAAGAAGCTTTAGATGACGTTAAAAATGCTTTGAACTTCATTTCAAATGGTTCGGATACTATTAAAACTTTATCTGGTTGGATGCAAGAAACAAGGAGTCAAATAGATACTGTAAGACGTATAGCAAACAATGCACGTACGGGATTGGATACTTTACGAGAAGCACAAAATACACTAAAGGAAGCAAATGATATTCTTGGCTCAGTATCAGACATGCATGAAGATTGGCTTAAAGGTATTGACAAATCTTTAAAAAATCACAGTCAGTCTATTGCTGACTACAAGAAAAGTATAGATTTTTTACATAGTGCTATGGACGTACATGATGGAAGCATAAGGAACTTACTTAATGCTAACAATAACTTACCAGGAACTATTAAAGCATTTATAAAGTCCTTTGTAAAACCCGGTGCTCTAACATTTAGGTCTTTGAGAGCAAGAGCATTGAAGTCAAGAGATGCAGAAACTCCAGAAGAACCACCAAAACCAACAGCTAATGAAATATTGTTCGAATATTTTCCAAGGTACTCTGTTCTCATTGCATACATTCAAGAAATACTTAAGAAAGCAGACTTGACTTTAGGAGATGATGAAAGTTCTGTATATCTTTCGTTCCAGTTTCAAATAGCAGAACTTTTGAGACAGATATGCTTAATGTATGACAACATCTCTGATTTCACAAGATATGATGACGACCATGATCCCGAACACGGTGAAGAAGAAGTTTTACAAACATCCATTAAGACAGGAAAGGATTTAACTCAAAGTCTCATTATTGACACCAAAGATGGCGAAGTGGACGTTCTTCAAGAGCTGAAGAAAAATACTTCTTCGGGAGGTGGTTGTAGGCATGAACTTGAAATAAATGAGATAGAAGAGAAATTAGCCGAAAAAGCAGATAAAGAACATAAACACAATATCTCCGATATAAATGAACTTCAAGCTACATTAAATAGTAAAGCAGATAAAAACCATGTTCATTATATAACTTCAGATGAACAGATTATAACGGACTACCATGGATATTTAACACGAAGTGATGAAGCGAAGACAAAAAATGTTAATGAAAGAAGATATAAATACATTCGTGCTAAAGGTTATGACATAAGCTGTACTGTACAGTATGATGTAGCTAAAGCACCAGAAGCATTTGGTTATACCGGTGAAATTTATGCCTCTACTTTCAATGTTAACGGTGTATTAGTTGAACCAAGATTTATGTTAAGAGTTAAGTCAAAAATAACGTTTGAAGATGCTATTAAAAGTAAAGCTGACAAAGTTGAACTCGAAGCAATGAACAAAGTTTTGAAATCTCATAAACACAACATCTCCGATATAAATGAACTTCAAGCTACATTAAATAGTAAAGCTGACAAGAACCATACACATAAATCCTTCACTACTGTTAGAGCAGACGACATAATATTGAACTATACCCTTGGTTCAAGTGCACCTTTAGAGAATCCAAGTACAAGTGTAAAAGATACACTAAACTCCTTAAATAGTAAATGTATGAACATTGAAGGTCATGTCAGAAACTTTGAAACACATGAACTACCAGCAATGTTAGATAAGAAAGCAGACAAGAACCATACACATGATTTCTTCACAACTGTTGGTATAGAAAGTATTGAAGGAACGGTTGAAGAAACTGGTGGGGATGCATTATATTGTAAACCTCCTAACTTTCCACAAGGTTTAACATCGGATGACGACATAACGACGATGAGAAACATTAGATGTAAAGATGTTTATGTCATGAAGGATGAATATAATATTAAATTCACTGCTCAAGATTTATATGACAAGAAAGCAGACAAAACAGAGCTTCAAACATTAAAGACAGAAATACTTCAAACATTATATCCTATAGGCTCTATTTATACGTCAATGAACTCAACAAATCCAGAAACAGTTTTAGGTTTTGGTACGTGGAAGCAGATTGTAGACAAATTCTTATACTGTGCTAACTCTTCAAAGCAAACAGGAGGTTCGAAGAAAATTAAAGAAGCAAACCTTCCACCGCACACTCATACAGGAACTACAAACTTTTCTGGCGACCATAGCCACTCATTAAGAGACCATCCATTATACAACTCAGAGTATGAAGCTGGCAATGACGTTTTATCTCCATCTTATAACAATGCAGCAAAAAAGACTTTTCGACCAACTGAACCAGGAGGAAATCATGTCCATACTTTCACAACAAATCCAACAGGCTCGGGTGCAGATTACATGCCACCATTTGTGACTGTATTTGCATTTGCATTGGTACGCGTTCAATGAACGCGCTTGAGCCTGCTTTGCGGGCTTACCGTCTTGAATAAAATCTTTAACTTTACATAAATGAGCTTGAAAGAAGTATTCGAACAACATCCATGGAGGTCATTTAAGAAATTCAATGAAGCTGCAAAGAGTTGGGGATTTACTAACAGAGCTGAAGTGAAAAGGTTCTTTGACAAAAATGTTGTACATCAAACAAAAATAAACCCTTACGACTACTTTTTACCAATTTACTCCAACGCTCCTGACGCATACCAATTTGACACTCTCATTCAAAGCAGAAAAGGAGGACATAAACCATTCCTCATCTTCATTAATGTTAACACTCGTAAAGCATATGCATATCCAATGAAAAATAAAGGAACTCGTGAAGTGTTAAGAGTTTTACAAAAGTTTGTAGCAGAACATAGCCCAAGTACTTTAACATCAGACCAAGACAGTGCATACCTCAGCAATGAAATCACAGATTTTCTCATTAAACATAACATAACTCACTACACTACTGAAGACCATAACCATAACATACTCGGCATCATAAACCGCTTCATAAGGACGCTCAGAGATTTAAACCAAGAGCGAGACTTTACCGAAGAAACAATGAAACATTTTCTCGAAGTATATAATTCCTCAACGCATTCTACAACAGGCCATACACCAAATTCAATGACACAACAACAAGAAGAAAAGTATATACAAAAGAAACGAAGTCAAACACAAAATATCAGAAATTCAACACAATTTACCCTCATTCCTGGTACAAAAGTTCGTGTAGTTCTTGACGACAAACCGTTGACAAAGAAACGTTTAAGGTTAAGTCGAAATTATTATATCGTAGACTCTACGCAAGGTAATGGATATCTTATAAAAGCTGCTGACGACTCCATAGCATTTTACCCTCGACATAAATTAGTTGAAAGTAGTAATGGCAAACTTGCTGAAACCATTGACGAAGCAAAGCGAGGAGTGGTTATTGAAATACTTGACTACAACATAAACGATGACACTTATAAAGTAAGATATGAAGGAGGTGTTGAAGATGTTATACCATCTAAGAACTTGAGAGAGTCGAAGCCAACACATCTGGGTCCATTAGAGCGGGAGTACTGGAAAGACAAAAATATGCCAGAAAGAATAAGAAAATTCTTCTAAACTTTTTCATTAGATGTAAATCAGACATGAACGAGAACAGTCATGTATTATTAATGGTACCATTTATTTTAACATAAATGAACAAAAAATAATGTTTATGTTAGAATGTTAGATCTAACACGTTTTCTAACCTCATTTCTAACATGGTCTAAAACACACAAAACTCATGAATTTTGTGTGTTTTCAGCATTATTTTTTTGCATTATGACACGAAGTGAACTTTTGCACTTCGTCAAAAACTCATGAATTTTGTGTGTTTTCAGCATTATTTTTTTGCATTATGACACGAAGTGAACTTTTGCACTTCGTCAAAAACTCATGAATTCTCATGAATTTCCTTAAGATAGAAAAAATAAAAAATAATGTTTATGTTAGAATGTTAGATCTAACACGTTTTCTAACCTCATTTCTAACATGGTCTAAAACACACAAAACTCATGAATTTTGTGTGTTTTCAGCATTATTTTTTTGCATTATGACACGAAGTGAACTTTTGCACTTCGTCAAAAACTCATGAATTTTGTGTGTTTTCAGCATTATTTTTTTGCATTATGACACGAAGTGAACTTTTGCACTTCGTCAAAAACTCATGAATTCTCATGAATTTCCTTAAGATAGAAAAAATAAAAAATAATGTTTATGTTAGAATGTTAGATCTAACACGTTTTCTAACCTCATTTCTAACATGGTCTAAAACACACAAAACTCATGAATTTTTGACATTTCCTTAAGATAGAAAAATAAAGTTAGTTTTATTTTTATTTATTTTTTTATTTTGTATAAAAGATATGATTTCAACAATCGGCACAACAGCAATACAAACAACAGCACCAAACTCGTTAGTCATGAATCCTACGTCAATGTTGGTAGAGATGAAAAACTTCATTCCTTCTTCATATACTTTCGAAACAAAAATCCAGAAGATAAAGCAAGAACTTTTAACAAGTAATTTAGACTGTAGTGCGAAAGATGAAACAAATGAAGAATATCTTTATGAAATGCAGGACATTATTGACCATTTGCCTAAACTACCTGAAATCCAACAACAAAAACTCACTATTCCTGAATTCGACGAAATTGAAGTGAAACCAACTGACTCAGTAGAAATAAAGAAGTTCATACGTAAGGTAAATTATGAATTCCTTGGTTTTCATTGCAACCATAAAGTTATGGACAAAGATTGCGATATGGTATATAAGAATGTTTCTGACATATATAAATCTGAAGAATTTAAGACCTACGACAACTTTGTTTCGTTAGCTGCTGAATGTGTTTGGGAAATAAGAGATAAAGATAGAAGAGGCAAAGTATGGAACAAACAAATAAGACCCGCTATGTTTGAGATGAAGAGAGCAATTGACGCCTTAGTTGTTTTAGCAGGTAAGGTTTCAGAATATAACGCAAAAATGAACCCGCAATGTTCTAAATGTAAAGCAGCAATTAGGAAATATAACTACTCAGTCAAAGAGATAGAAAGAATGAGAAACGACTATGCAGACTTAAAGAAAGAAGCAGAAAAGCCAGCAGAAGATAAAATGGACATGTTAGAATTTCTGAACAAAAACTATCCAACTGCTGACGATTTCCTATTATCTGACGTCAAGAAGAAGTATAAAGAAACCTTCGGCATAGTTAAAACATTCGATGTACTAAAAGAAGAAATTGAAGCTACGAAACTGTTTAAAGTCATGAACCATCGCAACATATACCATGTAAAACGCTTGTAAATAGTTATGTTAGAAAAGAGGTTAGAAAACGTGTTAGATCTAACATGTTAACATAAACATATATTTTTTCTATCTTAAGGAAATTCACGAGAATTCATGAGTTTTGTGTGTTTTGGACCATGTTAGAAAAGTGGTTAGAAAACGTGTTAGATCTAACATGCTAACATAAACATATATTTTTGCTGAATTCAGCACAAAATTCATGAATTTCCTTAAGATAGAAAAAATAAAGTTAGTTTTATTTTTATTTATTTTTTTATTTTGTATGTAAAGACATATATGTCAAACATTGAGTTTGAAACAGTAAGAAAGATTGACAATGACACCAAAGTGGTTAGAATTGGTGATTTAAACGTAAGATACTGTAAGAAATACAACAAATATTCTTTGTCAGACATTATAACACCTTCTGGAAAGAAAACAAAGGACTGGGTTAGAATTGCTTCTACTCAGAAAATTTTGACAAGAAATCCTGAGCTCATGATATCGGTAAGATTCTATGGAACTACAGCATATCTCATTGACAAAAGTCTTATACCAATAATTCTTCTGTGGATTGACCCTGTTGTTGGATATAACTTCATAACTTATGGTTCATTCGATACGGAACGTTGCAGTGAAGGCTTACTTTACATCGTTCAGAAACCGAAGGACTTCAATACAAAGAGATATAAGATAGGAAGAACATATAATATAACTCAAAGATATGACTCTACAGTCAATAGAGTCAAGGTTGTGTTCGTTAATGATATGAGAGCTGCAGAAACAGAACTACTCGAAAAGTTTGAGAAAATGTATGGTGCTCCCACGAAAGGTAAAGAAACGTTTGAAGTAGATGAGATAGATAAAGCTATAAAATTATTTGACGAAGTTGCTGAAAAATACATGTAAAGCGTTTATTTTTGGTCTTTTGTGAAAGTCAGAAAATAAAGTTAGAATTTTTTTATTTATTTTTTTATTTTGTATGTAAAGACAGTAATGTCAACATCAGAGAACACAACAACTGCTATCGTTCATGAAGCCATAAATGAAGAATACGAGTACATACAGTATAACAAACAGTTACGTCTCATTCGTTCAGTCAAAGATGACATGTACCAAATGCAAAGTATTTTGAATGCTCTTCGTTCTACAAAGCAAGCATATCATTGGTTTGAAAACCAACAGACAAAAGAACTTTTAGAAGAATTTCCTCATATGATTGCTTCCCTCGGAAAACCGGGGGAAGAGATTCCGTATGAAAATCGCAAGAATTTGGCACCTGGTTTGAAAGGTTATTATGTTCATAGACTTTTAGTAAATGCTGTAGCAATGTGGGCTTGGCCCCGTTATGCTTGTTATATTTTCATGATGTTAGATGAACTATATAAAGCAGAACGTGGAGAGATGGAAAAGAAACTTCAAGCAAAAGATGAAGTCATTGAATCCAAAGACAAAAGCATACAGAAAAGAATACCACGTTCAGTACCAAAAGGAAAGGAAAAAAGCTATAAGTATATGATTTACGCTGAAGAGTTGGAGAAAGAAGAAGATAGAGATATGGTTATGTTGCATTTAGTCAGAAGAAACAACAAGAGCTTTTTGACTTAGCTAAGATTTACAAATCTGACAGAAACTGGTTCTATCGTGAAAACTTACCGATTTCAATGACACCGAATGAGCAAATAAAGGAAATTGTCAAAAGTACTCTTCCTCAAACACACTATGACATCAAAGGTTGCACAATACTTACATTCAAAGAAGACTTAACATTACTGAAGGAAAAAATAACAGAATATTTCGATAACTTCAAAGAGGAAGAATAAAAAAATCTAAGCTAATTTTATTTTTTTATAAAATTTTATCTCATATGAAAGAACATGAATTTAGAATATTCGGAACTCATGACAGAAGAAGAGAACGAACAACATGTAAAAGATTATGCAAAATTTCTGAAGACATACAAAGCATTTAAACAATATCTAAATGCTTCTAAAGATTATGCAAAATTTCTGAAGGTATATAAAGCTTATGAAAAAGCGTATGAAAAGTTTATACATTGGGGAATTGTTGTAAAATATCGATATGAAAGATAACAAAAATATATTTTTCTTAAATAGCTTCAGGGTCAATTTCTTCAACCATTTCACTTCCTTCGTCAATGTCAATAGAAGCTTCTTCAACCTTTGGTAGAGCTTCTGTATAACATCTTTGTTCGTTATTGTCTTCAGAGATGAAGGATAATATTTCACATTTGTTTCACCCTTCTTATATTCTTTCTGTTCGGAAAGATTTAAAGCAATACTGAAGAAGTCAATGTTAGAGTTCTTTATGACAGTATAATGAGTATCTTTGACATTCACGAAGAAACTCTTTTGTTTCAAAACTACTGCTAACTCTTGTGAAGTATAACGTTTGCGGTCAATGACGATAGCTAATGGTCTGACATACTGACCAAACTTAGATTCTTTCACAAACTTCTTGTTAAAGATAACATTAACATTTGAAGCATTATTGAACTCATTCTTGATGGCAGTAGCGAGAGCATTGTATGAAAAGAACTTGCAATCTTGCATGTGTTTCATTAAAATAAAAATATTAAATTATTTTGAAAAATAACTTTAAAAAAATCTAATCTAATTTTTTCAAAAATATTTTTTTATTTCCTACTAAAGATGTATCGGAAGTTGTCTAAGTTAGAACACTCGGAAATAAAACAACTTCTTACAGAAGCTAACATAGATGTTGCAAAACATTACGCGACAAACAAAAAAGCACTCGCTGACATCCTCAATGACTATAATGGTGCAATAAGTTATGATAGAATTCATGATTCATAAACAAAACATTTCCTTTAAATGACGTTGCTATTGACTTATATCATAGACGTTCAGTACCTCATGAAGTAAGAAGAGAAATGTTTGACATAACAAATGCAAACGTTGGTGAAACACGAAAGAGAGACGACACACTGAAACAACAGAGAAGAGAGATGTTTAAAAGTGCTATAGAACAAGTTCGCAAAGCTAACGATGTCATTCGTTCCATTGACGACAAACCAAAAGAAGGTGAGAGATGGTTAAAGAAAGATGAAGAGAATAGGAAGAGAAATGTGAAGTCAGGCAATAGACTCATTGACTTTAACATCGAAGCTTTAGATGAACCAAACAGAGACTACTTACACAAACATTTCGGTAAGGTTTTCATGAGACTCTTAGAGAAAGATTAAAATAAACTCACAACAGAGATGGATGGTATGTTATAAACTTGGTGGAAAGTATGAATGTTCTACGTTAAACCTCAATAATATTGGAACATTACTACATCAGCTCTTGAAGGAGAACTTTATATCAGAGATAGAAGCAAATGCTGCAGGTATTGTTGAAATGCACTATGACTTCTTCTTGACAAACATAAAGAATCTTACTGAAATAAAGATGTATGATTTAACAGAATATGAAGGCTTAACGATGTCAGATGTAAAGAAAGGCAAACCAAAAAAGAGACCATATAGAGATGAAAGCACACTGACAAATGACCAGAAAGCCATTTTGGAAGCTCTTAAGCAAACAGGAAACCCAGCACTTATAGAAAGCTTTTGGAAAGATAATGGTGAAAAGAAGTTTTATAAGAAGAGAAGCGGTCAGTTCTGGAAGTATCTTTGCACATTACCTATAAATCTTGAACGCTACCAAATCTTCAATGAACTGAACAAAAGAACTGCAACACTTATGACAGAAGACAATTGTTTCGTTTATGCTTGCATTCAGGCTGGAGTAAATGAAGAAACTATTGACCACATGAGAGAAGTCATTCGTGTTAGAGACTTTCCTCAAAGTAAAGTACAAGAAATTTCGACGCAACAGGTATAGCATTTAATGTTACCATTGGTTACTTCAATGACTCAAGACATAATGAAATAAAGAGATACATACCAAAAGAATGTGAAACTGTTCGAACTATTGACTTACTTCTTGTTGAAGACCACTACATGCTAAATGAAAGATTACCAATGACAACATATTTCATTCGCAACTATATAGAAATCTTGAAGGAGTGTGGTGGAATGAACATTGAGAAACAGATGAAGATTTATACAAAGAGAGAGATAAATATGTTCGTTATGATAGAACAACACCGTTATGGGATGTTATGAAAACATTGTGGGAGTGCAAATATTTCGAACCTATTTCTTATGGAGAACTTTTCACATATACGACTGACTTATATAAACAGAACCTTGCACCATTTAAAGATTTGACATATGCTCCAAAGTATTGTGTACAACTGAAGAAGAAAGCAGAGTCAAAAGAAGTAAATAAAAATAAGTGCAAGTTCATTCCTGAGCACGTTTTCTTTGCTGACTTTGAGTGCAGTACCGATGGCTTTCATAAAGCTTTTAACATATGTTATGACAGTGAAGATGGTTCAGTGAGTGAAAGCATTTGGGGTCAGAACTGTGCAACAGAATTTTTGGAACGACTTCCTGACAAGAGTTTAATATATTTCCATAACCTCAGTTATGATATAAACTTCATCTTAAGACACATGACAGAAGTGAAAGGAACTCCCATCATTAAAGGTTCACGAACAATGCAAATAACTGGTTTATATAAAGGACGGGCAATTATTATAAAAGACTCTTACAGTATTATAAATAAGAAGCTTAAACTATTTCCTGCTATGTTTAACTTACAAACAGGACCGAAAGAAGTATTTCCATATAACTACTACAGCAGTACTTTGTTAGCAAATGACAACAGAACTGGTGTCATTTCTGAAGCATGTAAGTTTGTAAAAGATATTGATACGTTCATGAAAAACATAGATTCCATCAAAGGTTGCAGAATAGATGAGAACCACTGACTTAGAAAAATATAGCACGTTTTTACTGCAAACAAGATGTAAGAATTTTAAGAGAAGGTTTTGTTAAGTTCCGCAATGACATATTGAAAGAATTTGATTTAAACGTTTATGACTACAGTTAGTATTTGTTCAATTGCTAACAAATTATTTGAGAA